GTATTTTTCTGTGTTTTTTGTAGTTAATATTTTGTATTTTTCTTGTTTTTTCTACAAACATATGGCTGAACACATATCACTAAAACATCCTACTTTCTTTTTTTATGTTTTTTATGTATTTTTTCAGTATTTTTCTGTATTTGATTTTAATTTTTTGTGTTTTATCTATTTTTTTTTATAATTTTCTGTGTTTTTTCTGTTGTTTTTTGAATTTTTTTATTTTTTTGCACATGTATGAGTATGACTAAACACATCCTAATTTATGTTTATTTTTTCTGTATTTTTGTTGAATTTTTTATGTTTTTTCTGTATTTTTAGAATTTGTTTTTGCATTTTTTATATTTTCTATGTGTTATGTACTTTGTTATTTTTGTATTTAGATAGTTTTATTTTTCTGTAATTTTCTGTATTTTTTTCTATATTTTTTTGTGTTTTTTTTTCTGTAATTTATTTGTATATTTTCTATGTATTCTATACTTTATTATTTTTGTATTTAGATAGTTTTATTTTCTGTATTTTATTTAATTTAATGCTATTTTTTATTATTTATAAATATATTTTTATTTTTTAATTGATTTATGACATCACAGGGCAAACCATTCGACCTGAATGGTTGAACCGCTTAACCAAAAAACGGTCCATGACCGATTCTATTTCTGGATCGTTTTTAAAAACCTTACATTTAGCCATTGGACCTGAGATGCCTCGAGTCATTAGACCTTCCGTCCCGGGTACCCAATTCTGAAAAACTCATTTCCTGGGAAGAGGGCACATTTTTAATAATTATAGAAATACCCCTTCATCCTTCAAGCCAAGAAATTATTGAAACACACCTTCCTTCTTAAAACCTTTCTTCTAAAATATTTACGCAAGCACCCCCTCCTTCCTTTGAGCCTTTTCCTGAAGAATTTCCAAAACACTTTTCCCTTCTGAAAATCATTTTCTAAATCTCTCCATCATTCAAACTTTTCCCAAAATTACTAGAACACCCCTTTTACATTTAATCCCATTTCTGAAAAAATTACAAACCCCCTTCTCAAAATACCTTCACCACTTTTAAACCCATCTCAAAAGAAAAAAGAAAAAAAAAACATTAAAACCTGAAAGTACACTTGAGTTGATCTCAACCACACTAGAACCCCTAGACATTTAATAAAGAGTTACAGGTTCAAGTCTTCATTTTATTCATGATATAAAATATTAGTCATTTTTAGTTCGTTTTATTTATAATACATAATATTTTGATTATTTTAACTTTGTTTAATATCCAAATTCAATTTGAAATCATCTTGTTTAAATTTAAATCTGATAGACAGACAAAATTTAAGATTGCAACTTAGTTGGATTAGGTCGGGTTGAGGGTCAACCCAGGCCCTTTTCATCTCATCCCTTTTCATTCTATTATTTCTCAGAAACCAAACAAACCATAAAGTTCAAACCTTGGATTTAGGCACAATCCAACTTAAGCCCAAACCCAACTTGGGCTGGGCTGGGCTGGGCTCGGGCTTGAGTCAGGCTCGAATGTACTAACCAGTTTTGAAAGGTTTTCATCTTTTTTAATTTCCTTTGCACATTTTTTTTTTTTTAATTAGGACTTCAGTCCAATTTATGAGTTAGAAACTTAGAATGCATTAAAAAATATGTAGAAATGCTATTAATAAATGCAAAACAACGCTATTCAATCGTAGAGAAAGAGACAATATCTATGTGGGTTAATTTAGTCCAAATGGTTGCCAACCAATCAGATAAATTTGCCACGGAGATGCCTCCACCTGTCCACCTGGAGTGGAATAGATCGTACGAGGAAGCTCCGTTCTCGTGAAGGTGCCAGTTGTCCCAGTTCTACTTCTACCACCCCAACTTTCACTTTCTCACGTCGTCTTCACTTTTCACAAAATCTCTTCTACATTGTTTTGTTTTTAATTGACAATGAATAATTAACACCCACTTTCACTTAGGCTATGTTTGGTTTGAAGGAAAAAGTAAGAAAGGAAACTTTTATAAACTTTGTATAGATTAAACGTCAAGGGGATATGGGCACAAAAATATTAACACAGAAGTTATTTACAAAATAATATACTATTTTTATTTCCATATGGGCCCCCAAAAAATAGTTCATCAACATGCATGGTCTACCTACTCTACTTAATCCTTGGAGATATATGAGCTCTCAGAGGATTTTTCATAACCACGGTGAACTCCAACTTCTCAGACAAATCGACTTCATCTCCATAGCCAGCCGTCCACTCAAAATCCCTGATCAAATTGGCTACAAAATACTCCAGATGAAGCAAAGCCAACCCAAGACCAGGGCAGATCCTCCTTCCAGCACCAAACGGCATCATCTTAATCTCCCTGGTCCCCGTTACATCAAACACTTCTCCTCCGTCAACGTCACCGATCAAGAACCTCTCCGGCTTGAACTCCATCGGGTCCTTCCACACTTTTGGGTCCCATCCCATCTCCGCTACCATGAAATTCACTGTGGCGTTCTTCGGTATGACATACCCATCTATGGTGATGTCCTCTGTGACTGCGTGTGGTAGCACGAAGTGTCCAGGTGGGTGCCTTCTCAGACCCTCTAATACTACCGCCWTCAGATAYGGCATCTTYTGCAGATCTTCCTCTTTGATCTCTTCGCCGGATTTTACCACTCCTTCGATCTCTGAGACCAGCTTTGCTTGGATGTGTGGATGCTTCACCAGGTTCGCCATGATCCACTGCAACGCGGTGGATGTTGTATCAGTGCCCGCGTTTAGAAACTCCGAGCACAAGGTCACCATCTCGTCCTCCGTCAGTTTCCTTCCTCCATCTGGGAGTTGAAGGCTGAGCAGAGTATCGACGTAGCAGAGGATGGATTCGCCCTTCTGGTTTTTCTTCTCTTGCTCTTGCCGGGCTCTGATTAGAGGAATGAGAACGCTTTCTTGGTTGTGCCTGATCTGATAAAGCTCCTTCCACTTCTTTCGGAACACAATCTTTCCCAATCTTGGCATGAAAGCTATCACGTTGAATCGACCGAAACTGGTTATAGCCTTCCTCTGAACGGATTCGACTTCCTTGATAACCTTCTCGTCGAGCTTTTCTCCTAAGCACATGAGCACCAACAAGCAGAACATGGCGTACTGGAAGTGATCCATGACGCGAACGGGTTGTTTGGAATTGGCTTGTTCTCTGAGCTTCTTGGTCAGTATCTCCAAAATTCAATTGCGGGCGTTGCCGTAGGACTTGATCCGTGAAGGGTGGAGGATCTCATGGGTGAGATTACGTCGGAAGAGGCGCCAGAGGGGGCCATAGACGCCTGCAATGATGTTGTTGGTTGCTGGAAAAGACACGGCTGGTTGCGAGAGCCGGAGGGCGATCGGCAAAGGTGGCGCCGTGTTGGATGAGGGCTTTGTGAGCGAGGTCGTGGTTGGCAATGAAAATGACTGGGCGGAAGCCAATTTGAAGCTTGATAATGGGGCCGTATTTGGTGCGTAGATTGCGAAGACTGATTTCAATATCGTAGAGGGATTTGCGAATCCATAAGAAGCCGCCTATGATGGGGACAGTAAAGGGACCTGGTGGGAGCTTATTGTGGTTGAGGGAGAGTAGATCCAGGAGGGATTTCAGGGCTGCAGAGATACAGAGAGAGGCGAGGATGATGAACCAAATCTCCATTGGAGACTGACTACGATTTTGATTAACTTTCTGTTGAAATGAAGTGGAAATGGCCAATTAATTTATACGGAGAAGTACAAAAACACACGATGCAGAATTTCAATTCCAGCCCCCCCTACTACTAGTCTTCTGCCCCCTATAAACCACATCCTGCCCGTGAATTTGTGATCAATTCACGGTCAGATGCATTCCTCCTGTACTTTGGGGTTAGAGAATTCTGAGCTGACCTGGGCTGATTGGTACTTCTTATAAAGTGTTTGAGAACTGAGAGAGAGAAAGATATTTACGTGTTCATCACGTCAAAAGGAAGAAAAAGGTAGAGAAATTCATACAAGCCGTATATAGGTTTTTTTATCTTTCCTTTCTTATCTCTACCTTTTCCTTCCAACCAAACACAGCCTTAGAAAGAATTATGGGAATTTGATGTGAAAAGTTAGAATAGAATTATGGGCCCTCGTTTTGTAATAATTCATAAATCAAAACAAATAAACAGTAGTCAAGTCAACTATTGGAACGAAGGGAATTTGCAAGGAAACTGGTACGATAGGAATGAAGAAGATAAGTGGGTTGGGGTTTGACTCAGGAGTCACAGGAAGACGTAGCATTTAATGCTTTCTCTTAGGTCCCGTTTGTTTGCAGCTATCACAATTCCTACAATCTTCTCCTACTTTGTGGGAGCTCATAAAAAACCAAAAATACGAACTGTCAATTGTAGCTGATCAACTTGTCCTTCAATTGAGACTTTCAAAAACCAGTTAAAATACCCTTCAATGTTCAAAGCCCGAATCTTACTATCAGTCTTGTCTCTGATCAACTTCTTTCAACATCTCCTTGASACTGTCAATTGTAGCTTTAGCTTTCTCATCATCTAGATGCTTAAGAGCTCCTGTAATTTTCGATCATACTCAACAATAAGCCTATCTATGACATCCTCTAGGCTCTAGCTTTCTCATCATCAAGTTGCTTCTTTCTGGGTTTACGGTTTCATCTTACACCTCTACAACCCTGATTCCTGAGCACGTCAAAGCCCTCCAATCCGATACAATCACATAATAGATAGAAAGAAAGGTGGGACCGTGGGAGGTAAATACTAAATAGAGAGAAAGGGAAGGTGTTGTTGGGATGACAAATCACTTGTTCTGTCCGGCGTTTGGGCCTCTGAATCTTTTAAACAGTGCAACCACGTTTTGAAAATTTGAAGAATAACCAGGTGTTCATCTTCAAAACAAGGATCAGTCAAACTTTTGGAATTTTCTACCAATGAATCCAATGAAACAAAATCTCTGAAAGCTACAATGTTTATCTAAAAAACCCCAAAGCCGATTTTACTTTAATTCTTTCTTCTTTTTTGAAGCCTAACCAGCCATAATCCACTAAGCAATGCATACATACAATCAAGACAGCAATAAAGGCCATGGGTATAACTATGGCAAAGATAGAGAACAAAAGGTAGCAGACCAAATGGCTGAACCAAAAAAAAAAAAAAAAAATTAGTAAAACTGAGCACTGGGAGAAGATAACTTATGAAACCTCTGCAAATTGGCATTTAATTTCTGAAAACGCCAAAAAGGAGGAATCGCTTCCTCCAACAGAGACAGATTGAATCTTAAAGAGCACTAGCGAATCTCCCGCAAACTGAACATGAAAAATCCGAGTCCGCGTTCTGTGAACCCGCCAATGAGAGATGACCGCATCGTCTCTGCAAATACGGGCTAACGTTAACGGGCAGGTGGTCGTTAATTGGAGTGTGTGGTTGAACCGGCACAAAACAACAAAATCTAAATTGAAACCCCTCTGTCTCAGTTTGAACTTCGAACCTTGCCTCCATTGGCGGCCATCGTTCATCGGCGACAGATTCAGCAGTACGTTGTCTGGCATAATCATCATCCTCCTCCTCTTCTTCTTCTTCTTGAGGTGTTCCTTGGTTTTTGTTTTGAACAGATCGAACGTGACCATTCTCCAGTCCTCTATTCCCAAACTTCCAGATAGCTGGGACGAACATTGCATAAGGATGCTATCCCATATTCGCTATTGATCCAAAAAGTATCCTATGCTGTTCATATAGAGTTGGGTAGTGCAATCAGAAAATCACATTTAAATCAACAGTTACACAAACAATCCAGGAAATCAGCAGACTGATACAGTTTATTCTCTTTCTCATTGTTTCTGTATTAGATCATAAAAATTCAAGTAACCTTTAACATTGAATCTGTAATAACATCAATAGTTTCCCAGTAATTTCTAGTAAATATCTAGAGTCAAATGCCCTTCTCAGAGAGGTCTCTAAATATTTTTCCTCTTCATTTTGATAATAAACTGAATCCAAGAACCAATAGGAAGTCTTTTATATTTATAGAAACCTTAACAAGTCCACAATTTCTGAGCCTGCGTGCAGTTTTTCTGAGCCTCCGGTGTGAGCTGAGGTTCAGGTCACCTTTGATCTGTTCAAAACAGAAAACAAGGAATACCTTTGGAAGAAGAAGAAGAAGAGAAGAGGAGGAGGAGGATGCCAGACAACGTACTGGCACCGGAGTCTCACCGCCGGTGGATGATGGCCGATGAACGATGGCCGCTGTGGTGTGCTCGCCGATGTGTTAGAGTAGGAGGGTTCGGCGGAAGAGAAGAGAAAATGGGAAGCAGGGTTCAAAGTTGGAACAAAGACTGGGAAGGGTTTCAATTTAGATTTTGTCATTTTGTGTCGGTTCAACCGCGCACTTCAATTAACGGCCACTTGCCCGTTAACGTTAGCCTGTTTTTCAGAGGGTTCACGTGTCCAGTGAACCGATGGGTTCACAGAACGTGAACTCAAAAAATCCGATCTCCAAAACAAACGGGTTCAAAGAGTAATGCTTGATTCCGCTAAATAGTCTTGAAAATCAGGGTGGGCCGAAAACTAGCCTGATTTCACAAATGCCAGCCCATGAAAACGTACCTCACCCGAGTCCGGATTTCCTGTCCACGTTTATTACAGTCACATAGAGAATATCTCATTCTCAGCATAGTATTCTACCTCACCCACCAAAGTTGCAAAGAATCAAAAACCACCCCCTTAAATCTTTAGTTCTTTTAAAATAACTTTTATGATCATCTCATTGTATATGTGTTGTAAAAAAGTATAACTCAAACTTGAAGAACTAATAATAAAAAAAACAGTACGTAAGAGGACACAAAAGAAAAAAAAAAAAAATAGGGATAAGTGGACTGTAATCCATCTCAGAAATCTGAAATTACAGTCCCTCCCACTTAGGGAGTATTTTAAGACATTTTTGTAAACAATATAAATAGAGTTAGTAATTTCATAATTTAAGTATTTTACCCTTTTCTTTCGTTATATATTTTATATTTATATCAATGGTTGTGAGATGATCATTTTGTCCAAATTCATATTTATTTCAATTGCCAAAGGCCAATTTTAACCCTAAAAAATTTAAAAGGCCATTTTTCACCCGACATTGGAGAAAAGGCAAACCATAGGCAAAAAATAGACGGCATTTGAAATGTGATTAACAGATCCATTAGACATAGTTATGTAGCACTGTTAAGTTTGAAAAACGCCTCTTTTGTCCCTAAACTTTGAAAATGGGCCAATATAATAAAGTTAATTATGTAAATTACTTCAAGGTCTAATTAAACGACCCTAAAAGTATAATTAAGTTTTAATTTATTTACTTAATTAATTAAATTTTAGGGGTTGTTAGAGCTAAATTGAATTAAATAAATTATACTAATTAAGATAATTAAGTAAATTAAGCAATTAAATTAATTAAGGAAACAAAGTTAATTAAAAAAAATTCAAAAAATGACATTTAGAAAAATATAATTAAAATAAAAAATTATTCAAAAAGCATTTACTAGATCGAACAATTTAGCAATTCTATCGTCTGGGACATCGGTTTTTTAACCAAGTCAATATATATATATTTTTTTTTCAAAAAATTTGGGCCAAGTATAAAATGGAATTGACCATTCAATCAATTCATTCCACTAGTTCTTAGGTGAAATGATTCAGGGCATAGTATAAAATGGAACTAGACAATTGACCAATTCCTAGGTCGAATAATTTGATTGTTTGAAATTTTAACTTGCCCAACAAACTAGTGACCTAAATGGTTGAACTGCTAAACTGTTTGATCTGATAAATGGTTTTTAGGTAATTTTTTATTTTTCAAAACATCATGGATTGTCTATTTCGACCAAACGATCTAACTTCTAAATGTTATGGTTTTAGGGTCATTTTTTATTTGATTACCTTTATTTAATTTAATTAATTTTGTTTCCTTAATGAATTTAATTTATTGATTTAATTGCTTAATTTACTTAATTATCTTTATTAGTATAATTTATTTAATTTAATTAAATATATTAAATACTTTAGGGTCATTTACAAGAACACCCCCTATAGTTTCACGGATTTATTTAAATTCACCCTATAATTTTTATATTTTAATTAAATCACTTCTTATAGTTTGCAATTTGCTTACTCAACGACCAACCAGTAAGAAGTGTTTGGTTTGCCATCTAAAAATAGCAAGAAGATCACCTAAATTGAGTGCAAAATGTTCAAAGGCATGGATCTATGATTGTTTATTTCAAAATTACCCTTAACACTTCTTAAAACAAAATTGATCGCATAGAGTCGAATAGAGTGGATGCTCTTATCTTACTAGGGGCAAAAATGATATTTTTATTTTTATTTTCTTTTGATTAAATTTATTCAAATGGGCATTAGGATCAAACTGCCTTTTGCCACTATCATCTAATCTAATGGAAGGTCAATTAGGTAAATTGATTGCAAACTATAGGGGTTGTTTTAGTAAAACACAAACTACAGAATAGGTTTTAGTAATTCTAACAAACTATAGGGGGTGTTTTAATAAATGACCCTTTTTATTAGGGAAAATTCCCGATTAGTACCCTGTACTTTGTGCCTAGTGCCACTTTGGTCCCCAAACTTTAAAATGCGACAATTCAGGACCCCAACTTTCAAAACGTGACAATCCAATACCTATCATTAGTTAGCAATTAACCTACCGTTAAGTGGCATTTGAAAAGGGCACAAAAGCCCTTTGAGTGCCATTTAATTTTCCTTATCAACCTTCTAAGCATTGGCAAAAGATTAACAATTCCAAATCCTTGCTTCTTCCATTCAAGAAAGTTGGGGTTAAGTTTCAGTGAGCATTCAGATGACCCCAACTTTCTTGAATAGAAGAGGTAAGGATTTAGGACTATTAATTTTTTTATCAATGTTTGGATAGTTGACAAAGAAAATTAGACGACACTCAAATGGCATTTGTGTCTTTTTAAAATGTCACTTAACGGCTGATTAACAGCTAGTTAATGACAGGTTCTAGATTGTCACGTTTTGAAAGTCCAGGTATTGAATTGTCACATTTTAAAGTTTAGGGACCAAAGAGACACTAGACCCAAAGTATAGGGTACTAATCGGGAATTTTCCCTTTTTATTATGTTTATTAATAAGGCTAACTTGAATGTTGCATATTTCCTAAAGTTATTTCTAATTAATTTTTTTCATGATATAGAATATAAAAGTCAGTTTTAGTTCATTTGGTTCATAAAAAATAATATTTTGATTGTTTTTATTTTAACTTATAATTGGTATTTAAAAATTGAAATCCAAATTCAATTCGAATTCATCTGATTTACAAATACACCCCAAAAAAAGAATCTCTGGATGATGCCTCTTTGTTAGATTGACCAAGCCAAAAGGCTTGTAAAAGAGGACCGTTTTGATTGGTGATTTCTATGATGCCTTTTTTCTGTGTCTTGTGAATGTGCCAATCTGGGCTCGTTTGGTGCATCTTTTTGGGAATCATGGGTCGATTGCGATAGAAAAATTTCCATGATATGCACTTGACAAAATGAAATCCCAAGTGAGGGGGAGCATGTTTTGATACTTCCTTCATAATATATTCTTGGTTTATTAATTAATGATTTTTGAGATTCTCGAGGAGGGTAGATTTGGCCCTCTGCTAACATCATGACACATGACATCTCACAACAGTTGGATGACATCTTGGCACCATATAGGTGATGATTTTCCTTAACCAAAATGATGGAGTCCTAGTTAGTGACCTACCTTTGCCCACCTGACAACCCACCTCTGGCAACCTAATGGAAACCCAACTAGCAACCTACCTTCGCCAACCTACTGGAGACCTAACTGGCGACCTCATACACAACTCGGGCAACTCGGCAAAGCGACTAGCAGCACCTAGTCCAGGGCCAGCCCGTAGTACATCGTCATTACTTCGTCCAGCGACCTCTTCAAGGACTTGTTGACCTATGGTACCTCGTTAATACCGGTCAAAGTGGCATCGGCGTGGACAACTGCCTCCTTGAGGACTTCTAAAAGAACCATTCAACCTAAAAGCTTAAGCCGTTAAGTGAGGTCCTTGAATAGGTTTTATTCTCTAACACGCCCCCTCACACGAAAACCCATTAGGATTGAAGCATGGGCAACATAGGCCTACTCATACCTTGTGTTGAAACTTAATTAATTATAATGGGGGTGACAAGAATTGAACACTAGACCACTTGGTCAAAGTGGCTTTGATCTCAAAGAACCATTAAACTTAAAAACTTAAGTTGCTAAGTGACGTCCTTGAATAGGTTTTATTCTCTAACAGGATTTGTTGATCTAACTGAGTTCCAGGCCCACTCTTCCTTGAACAAGTTACTGTTTCCGACTTCTCCGGGACCACGACGTTCGACCGTTACACCCATTTTTCCGTATCGTCTGCATCGGAGTTGATTGAACAGACTATCCCTCTCCTCTGGACATGGCAAACCCGGTTTTTGGGGAATCTCGGAAGCGTTACAAGAAGCTCTCTGTTCCTTACACCTATATAAATGTCTCATTTCCAACCTTAGAAAGTCGCAATTTAGCTCTCGCAACTTTTTCACTTTTAGTTCTCTCAAAAATCTCCAATTCGCTGACTTAAGCATTGGACAACCTACCCCGGATAAAACAGCCTAGGCACTCTGACACTGTCTCTTTACAGGTTGACCTGGCAATTATCTAACTTGGCATCCTAGCTGCCCTCTAGCATAGAGATTCCAGATCACGCACCATCAATTCTTATAACACCCAAACAGAAAATAATAGCTTCAATTGCCCATACATCTCTCATCATTGATCAATTAGTTTCCATCAAACATGTTTCTCCAAAAGATACCCATAAAAACACCATGCACCCAGGAATTGAATTTTAAACAAGAAGAGTTGGTTGGTGAAGATATGGTCCATATATCTACCGTTCGTAAGAAAGTTGACTGTTCGTTTAAATAGCTTTTTTGCACCGTCTTACACTCAAGACAGCTACTACTCATCCTTGTAGCCTTTCTCTTTAGTCCATGTCTATCAATTTCATGGAAGCTTGGTTATCTGTCTTTGCAGTGTTGGTTTTTTCTTTCTTTTCTTTTTTAATGAAGTGGCTAATCTGTAAGGATCGGTGCAACATATCATTACAAGATCATAGGAAGCTGCTGTCTTCTTGAAGATAAAATTGAATCCAAATTATATAATGCTTCCATGTTGGGTTGGACATTTAGAATGATGTAATCTGAACACATTGGACCTGATTCCAGTTCTATAATTTAGATTGGTTTTGATAGCAGTTCTGAGATTGAAGCAGAAAAAACCAGGAATGCAACCCATTCTGGTTCAAATGTCAAGTTCGTTGAACATCGCTTTGGAGTACATTTCAGTAAAACTGTGTTCACATTGTGTTTCCTTGTGCCTTTGGTCAGGGAGTTTCCTAAATGCTGACAAAGGAATCTTACATGCGAGTAGGGGTGTCAATCGACTGGTTTTGGGTTGGACTCGGTCCAAATTAAAATTAATTTGGAAGGATTGGATGGACCTATAAGACATTGAATTATTGTACTAGTCCAAGCTTAATGGCCCAGAGTATTTTTTTGGATTGGCTTGGATCTGGTCCATCTATAATGGATTTATATTGGATTGGATTAGATTGAACCAATAATATCCGAAATATCTGATCCATTGATAGAAGATAAGAATACATGTGTGAATGGATTAGGTTTGAATTGGAGTAAATCTAAATAAAACCAATTTGAACAGATTGGACAGTTTGGACATTGAATTGGACCGGTCCAAAATGGTCCAAAGTATTCATTGGATTGGATTTGACCAAATCTGATCCAATTGACACCTCCTAGATGTAATAGTTAGATTAGTTTAAAAAAAAAATGTATGCTCAAAACACTTTCAGGAAAGAAAATCATAGGCCGTGTGAAAAATATAGAGTGTGACATGTGGCCAATCTTATGCTTGTATTTATTAGCTTGAATAGTAGGCCGGAAAAAGAAAGAAAGGAGTAAACTTTATGTTATGTTTGGTTTAAAGGAAAATCAGGGAAAGGAAGGAAAAGGCAGGGAAACCTATACAAATCTTATATTGATTTCCCTGCCTTTCTCTTCTTTTCCCTACCTTTTCCTACAAACCAAACATGACTTAGGAGAGAATTGGTTTCTTTTGAAAACAACCATCTTTAATGAAAGTAGTATTGTTTTGTGTGATTTTTGGAAAGCAATGTGTGTTTGATAAGGAATTTTTTGGAAAAAAAATGTTAGGTAGTTTCTTGGTTTTCTTTATTGGCTTTAAATCTCAAGATTTTAATAAGGAATTGTTTGAACAAAATGTTTTTGTTGTGGAGAAAAGGGTTGTCTTCGGCTCCTAGATCTCTTTTTCTTTAATTTGCATCTCATATGATGATGATCTTCTCTTATTTATTTAGGGCCCATTTGGCAAGTCTTTTTAGGAAGATCTTTTGGTAGCTCTGGTAGCACCGACAGTCAAAAGATGTATTGAGCATTTGCATGAAGATATGAGCATCCTAAAGCTAATTTAGCAGTATCATGTCTTTTCGTGTGAGAATAAAACGCAAAAAGCTTCATTTAGAGTTTCTCGAAATCAGCCCAAAATAGGCTTCTCACATCTTTTCGACACTCCAACTTTTGACAACTAGATCTTCTGCGAATTAAAAGGGAATAGAGTGAAAATCGGTCTGCCCGACTTGTAAACAGCCGAAAGACTGCACGGAAAGACATGCCAAACGGGCCCTTAATTGATGCACTTTCTGTTGATCATCTTCGACCATTGTGCACTCTCAAACCATCATGCACTCTTGACCATTTTTTTATGGAAAAACAACTTTCTTTAAGCAGAGAAAGGATTACAAAAAGCAAAGGTCTAAAAAATCCAGAGGATCAACACCACAGTATGAGCTGCTGATATATATTTTTATTTTTAAAGATCTATTTACATCACAAAAGGAAATCCTGTCCAATTTAGACAGGAAACGACACTGCTTTTAAAGATCTATCACTGCCACAAACGACACTGCTTTCCTGATTGCAAAAAAGCTCTACTTACTACGACTCCATGACTTGATCAAGCACTTTCCTCCTGCAGCAATCACATAAGTACCAGAATTATCATCAATAATACCTCCACCAGAAAAAAGAAAAAGAAAAAAACGAAAAGAAACAGAACCCATATCAGAAGCTCACATAAAGGAATTAGAAAGAGAAACAGGAACCAAATTCTCCTGAACACAATAAGACTCACAATAAGCAAAAGGGTTCTGAATTTTAACAAAAAATTCTCTGAAAATTAACTGCCTCATTTCTAAAAAGAACCCCATTTTCTGCGCATCCGAACATGATAATAGGCTACAGCCATCCATTTAAGAAAAAAAAGTCCAGACTTAAATGCACTTTTGACGTATGTGATACAAATATGTGGGTTGTGAAGTGATGCTTTCTGCCCGAAAAGTACATGTATAATGAACGGAGAATGGTTAAAAGTTGATTTCCTCTTGCTAGTCATTCGAGTCAAGCAATGATCTTTTAAATGGGACCTTTCTAATGGTGGGGCCCCTCTCCTCTGAATACAGAACATGTGGCAAGTTGACACAACTCAGCCATATAAATAAGAACGATTGCAGCTGGGAAAAACACAACTCAACTAGAAACTGAGAAGAGCTAAGAACAAAATATATATATTTTGTTGCAGAGAAATCATGAAAATTACAAATAAAAAGGCGCAATGTATCAGCCTGTGCCCTCTAGAGGATGGTGCAGACTCTGCCATCTTCATATCCATAGCCTATGGTAATAAGTTGGCAGTCATGACAACAAGGGGGGAGTGGTTTTGGTTTGTCTTTATCATCAGATTTCTTGGATTCTTTATTTTCTGGCTTCTCAGGGGGCCCAACTGTAATAATATCAGCCTCCTTCTTAATCTTCTTGATTTGTTTCACCACTTTTACCGGATCAATTTCGCCGATTACAGTCAATATATCCTTCTCAGCATCCACTGATATCTCATCTATACCTGTAAGAATCAAAACCCATCTAAAATTTTCAGCTAAAACCAGTAGAAATCGTATCTAATATTCACTCTTTCTCCTCAAACTGATCACCTCGAAGCTAATTTTTTTTTTTCTGGGTTATTTGGTTGAACAGTACCCAATTGTTTTGATGTCAAATAAAGGCTAGAATTGAATTGGGTGAGATTTGTAGTCAGTACCTGAATGTTTGGTAACAGCTTTCATTAAGTTTCTCTGACACTTGCGGCAGTTAATGCAGACTTTCAACTCGATTTTCTGTGGTACAAAACCACAAAATAAATAAGAATAATACTCATGTAAATTAAACTAATTTAAAACAAAGACAGTGGATGGATATATAACAGCTTAATTTAATTAGTCCTAATTAATTCCTTACCTGGATGCTCATGGTGACACAACCACAGATCTTTTCTATGAAGTGCAGGAGCCTCATTTGGAGCTGTTTATATAGGGAGTGATTAGGGCAAACCTCCTATATGATAAGAGGGGCACGACCCTAGCTAGTGAAAAGACTAAGAAACGACGACTTCCTTTATTATAGAAGTCAATATATATATATATATATATATATATATATTTATATTTATATATTTATATATTTATATATTTTGTGGTCTTTTGAAACAGATAAATGATTTGAGGTGTGATTTTTTCTATTAAAAATAGGAAATTGTCAAATCATTTTCCTTTTTATTCAACAAAAAATTTGAGAGAAAAAGTTGTGTGTGCAACAAGAAATAATCAGCATCATTTTAGGGGTGCTGATTATTTGGGCATTTGCCCTGGTAAAAAGGCAAAGGAAAATCTTGTTTATAATGACAAAAAAATTCAACATACAGGAGTGTTTTTGTCTTTTAATATGTCTACTATTGGAGTGTGCTCCTGGAATGTGCCCAAACAAGCCTTTGAAAGACAAGGAATCTATTATGATTTAGGGTGTATCGCATAATTAGATTAAGGTTTAGGATTTAAGGGTTTAAAGTTTAGATTTTAGGATTTTAAGGTTTATGATTTAGAGTTTAGGTTTTAGGGTTTAGGGACTTTGGATCTAGGGTTTAAAGATTTGGATTTTAAATTTTAGGGCATAGGGACTTAGGATCTAAGGTTTAAGGTTTAAGGATTTAAATTTTAGATTTATGGTTTAGGGTTAGGGTTTAGGGATTTAAGATTTAGATTTTAGATTTTAGATTTTAGAGGCTTAGGTTTTAAGGTTCAGGGTTAGATTTTAAGGATTTAGATTTTAGATTTTATGATTTAGGATTTAAAATTTAGGATTAGGATTTACGGTTTAGGGATTTAGGTTTTATATTTGAAGATTTAGGGTTTAGATGTAAAAATCACAGGAGGTGGTAGGCGCAAGCCAGTATTGCCCACCCATATATATCGTCACTTGGCTACATCACTTAGTATATGGAATTTACTGATTTCATCTAATGACTTGAATCCTGAAAGCAATCGTTCTTATTCTTGGCGTCTGCGTGACTCAAATTTCTTACATGTTTGTTGAAAAAAGGGTCATACGGTCAATAGACTCAATACAGTCAAGGACACTGGAAACTACAATGCTATATCATGGATATTAATGGTGCTGTCATCTTCCTCCAAACATTCAATCATGTGCCAAACATCCATCAGGAAATTAATGGTGGTGTTTAGCTTCAGAATTATTTTTTTAATATTACTTTACTCTTCATGCATTCTCAATTTATTTATGATTCTTCTGATATATATATATATATATATATATATATATATATATATATTTTCTGTGACTTTTACATAATTAATCTTCTCAATTTATTTATTTATTAATTAATTAATAACTGATGTATGTATTGATTGGTTGAATTCATCAATTGAAGCCAAATCCTAGAGTCTTGGTCATACATTCTCAAACCTAGCATTCAAGGACTCAACTAACCAAAAGTTCAATGGTACAGCTTAAGAATTACCCTAGAAATTCTGTTAGGCTTGATCTAGATGCCTTTTTCAAGTTAGCTTTATATATATACATGATCAATGGTAAAAATCAATGCAAATAGCTAAATGATGATGAAAAATATTAATTGGTCGGTCATAAACTCTGCATTTCTGGATGAAATCCCTTGAAAAAGGGTCAAAAGAAGAGAAGTACCAGATGAGTGACTACAATAATTGGGAATTGAGACTTTAGGGTTCCACTACCACCACCTTAGCATGTAAAAAAGCGACTCTAATCCCTTCCTGGATATGTGAGCCCATTTGGGAGGGCCGAACTGAATATTAAATTAAGCTGGTTCAGCTGTTTTTAAGCTGATGGATGATAATTCGAGCTTTTTGGATTATTGACCAACATAGACTATTCATATAGGGACCACTTCTAAAAGCCATAGGCCACTACGCTTGAGCCTTTCGAGCACAAATATGCCTCTGCTTCAATCTCTTTCAATAACTTATCCCGAGCGCTTTAAAGCAGCTGAACCGGTTAAAAGCTCTCAGATGGGTGTTCTTACCTCCCCGGTTCTCATAAATGGTTAATAAATATCAATTAAGCCATGAAAATAGAGACCAATTTTAATAAATATCAACTTCTTTTTTATTTGGGTTTTTTGTAAAAGGATCAGATATCTCAACTTTGAACCCTCAATAATTAAGCCATGAAAATAGAGACCAATTTTCTTCCTGTTTCAGCTTAGTGATGGACTGATGGGGATGTAACCAACTGAGGGTAGCCAGCTTTATAAAGCTTCCCATGTCAAACTTCAAATGATATATCTCCAACACAGAGCCTTGATTTTCTACTGGCAGGATATATTTGTCTGAAACTAATTAATTACATCTAATACTCTACTGATCATATCTCAATCTCAACCTTTCATCTTAAATTCTTTTGTCGGATTGCAATTACGATTGAAAATACATACGAAATTGAAATTGAAAAGATTAGCCTAACAAATTCCAAAATATCATCACGTAGAAAACAAACTTTAAGACAAGTAGGTCAATTCCGCATAGTAGACATCAAGGTTCAAAGTATCAGACACGTGTCGGTTCGTATTGGTCGATACGTATCATTTTGGGACCTTTTTAATATACCTTTATAATGGGTGTATCAGGGGTCTGACCGGTTCAGAGGGTGGAGGAGCCCTAAACTGCCCCCCCTGAATCAATTGTGAAAAAAAATAAAAAAAAAAACAATAAAAAGCAGTATCGATTCGTCTGATATGCCCCTACTAACGTATCGAATGTATCGATATTTTAAACACACAGGACGTTTTATACACACATCTACAGCCGCATACTGGGAACATCTCTTATTGTACTATTTATTATCATTCACAGGGGAGGTGTTCCCAATGTGTGGCTGTAATATCACAGATATCTTCATCACATATTTGCAACTTTTATTGAATCAACCTAAGCCAATTATACATATAGGGTTTCCTTTTCCACATCCTATCAGACTGGGATTCTTAAAACCATGCAACACCCACAATAAGTTAATTATATTCATTCTACCAAAACTCATTTCCCAAAATTCTAAAATTGGGTTACAGTAGATTATGAGTCTGTTATGCTTCACTTTTCTAAGAAAACATACAGATTCTACTAATCTAGTCATGTTTCTGATCAAAACGAGTCAAACAGGAATTTCTTATGCAACTCAAAGAAAGGAAAAGGAACTGGCTTCTGGCTTAAAACAATCTTGTTTACAGCCATCTTGGTCTTCTATCCTTGGGAAATTATTTGGGTTTCAATAATAATTCCAATGGATCCTGTTCAACTTCTCTGAAAGCTTAATTAAATCAACTGTCTTTTTGCTTAGTAGTTTCTACGTGTGATGGGATCGCGGAAGGGGAAGGAACCTTCAAAGAGTGTCATTAATGGGGTAAACCAGTCAAGGTCCCAATCCATTCTGATATCTTGAGTCGTGAATGACGCCCATCATCCCTTCGTCATCAACAATTATGCAAATGGCATCACTCAATTCAACTGGGTCACTGGGTATATTGAATTGAACCACATCCACATCTTGATATATAGCATATTGTGTTTCATCTTTGTCATTTATTGTATGATTCTGGTCTAGCTCATAAAGCAAGAAAAGGAAAGATAAATTATGAGAGAGTTATATTTATGCATTCAGCTTCCCAGGTCTTTCTCCCATAATCGAGATCTCTCCCAGCTTTCTTTCTGAATCTATTTCGACTCGCTCAAGAAAGAAAGCATTTGATTTCCTTATGCTTAGTTTGGAAGCAGTACAAATGCAAATATGTATAATATAAATACATACAAAATATAAGGATTTGCACTCTTCATATTTGTATTTGTATTCCTTCCAAACTGAGCCTCAAGGCTTAAACCTTACCAAAGGTTTTATCCAAACAAATCTTAATTGGAACCAGCTAGTCAGACTGGCCGACCTAGCCATGCTTTTATGTCCGTTAGATTGGCGTTGCACATGCACATCTCAGTGTGGAACATTTTTTGTACTTGTCATCGAGATATGTTCTCACGGTTGGGTTGTGCTGTGGGGCACGTGTGGGAACATCTCCTATCAAGAGTGTTTGCTTCTTTTGACATTAGAGACACTGGTGAGAGCAGGAATTCCTAGTTAAAACTTTTAATCGTCCATAAGTCTTGTGCAAGCTCCAATAAGTTGCTGGGTATTAGGGCTAAATGGACGAAAAAGTGATCAAAGAGCCAATCAGAGAGAGTGGGTCTCTGTGTGGAAGATACAGTGGACTCTGTAGCAGACCTATTATCTCTCTGGTGTCAGAAATGGACACCAGAGAGATTCATGTGTGGAAGAAACCCGGTTGCAGTTTAATTCATGGGCTTTAATATTAAAGCCCAGCCCAGCTTACCAGACAAAAGATACAGATCATGTATAGATGGGCCTAAATTTTCAGACCATTACGTGGGGAGGGCTTGGCAAAGGGCTGCTTCAAAAGCCCAAATATGATGTGACACATTTGGCCTATCAAACTGCAAATCCTAATTATGCATCTTCCCGTTTTTAAACTATGCTTCTTGGAGATCCATTTGATTAACTCAGCATTATATATATATGTATATATAATGTGTGTGTGTGAAAGTTGGAATGCTTTGTTTTGAAAATAGAACCGGGAGGGTCAGACTAATTGACCCAGGAACTGGTCATGGGTCCAAATCCGGTTTTGGATCTCAAAACTGTCCGGCCTGGAGTTGCACCGGATGGTCAGATCATTGGACCTAGGAACCAGTGGTCAAAATGCTTTCGTTTTCGATATGACTTTCAAAACCATAATGTAGATATGAAAAATGTACAAGTAGCCAATTTAGGATTTCTTACTTCATGGACGGTTCAGATTGGCCACAGGATGCCTATATCCCTATGTCACAAAATGCGTGGTCCAAACAAAGTGGACATGGTTATTCTAATAAGGAAACCTTTCTAATTAATTTATTTGAATTTTAAATGAAATAGGTAAATTATTAAGTTATTTAAAACACTGATGTCTGAAATAGGACATATGGTTATATTCGGCCGCATTTGATAAGTCTTTTCGTACAGTTTTTTTAGGCTTTGTCAAGTCTGAAATACCCGTGCAGAAAGACCTGAAAAGATCAAAAATGCTACCTTTCAAAAAGTTTTAAATGAAACCTTTGGGGTTTTCTTGTGATAGATAGTCTCTAAAAGCATTTTTAAAAACCCCATAGATCAAATCGTTTATCAAATGACTTTTGTATTTAGAGATAAGACCCCAAAAACTCAATATGTTTTTAGCCATTTACACTGCTGAAAAAATCTTTCTAAAATGATTTACCAGCATTGTATTTGTAATATAAGTGTTTGTTATCTTAATTACAATCCCAAGTCCTAACCACTGAAATTGCTTGTATGATGACGAAGTAATGTATATAATAGTGAAGGTAATAATTAGGGGGGGTTGGGTTTGTTTAAAGCCCAAACAACAGAATATTAAGCCTATCTTTTTGGGCAAATTTATGGATTAAAATATTGTATCTTTCAATAGCCAGTATTAATTACTTGTATAAAAAAACAAAAAATTAATAAAGGGTGAATACAGGATTGGCCAGCCCCCCCCCNCCCCCCCCCCCTCTCTCTCTCTCTCCTTATCATTTGAGCCTGAAGACCTATGCCACATCATCAAAATATATAATCCATATATTCTCTTTTATGTGAGATTTATATTGAAAACATTTAATAGTCTATGTTGGAGGATTGGACAGGTGGCCAATCCAGTGGATAGATCAAACCTACTACATCATCCTCCATGTGGAGAAATGGTGCAGGCCCCAGTAGGAAATTTCCCTACTTGACCTGATTAGAAAGTATACCCATCATCTAAAGAGTTTACTTTGATCCTTTCCATGATGGATTTTAGAGCCACATCACTCCATTAAGTAATGGCCCCTTGCTTAAAGATCCCTCTATGTAGCAAAACTATGTATGTAGAGAAGCTCCCCAAGTTTACTCTATCAGGAAAAAAGTTTTCCATGAATATCGATGTTGAATGATTGTTTAGAAGAAAAATAATGAAAAAAAAGTAATCCCCACAAACACTTCTTCCACAAATATTTCTATATGTTTAATTTCCTAACTTTTGATCACATTACTGGCTGCTCAGGTCAAAGCATATCAGAATTATATGTACTTATAAATTTCATAGCATTTACTATGATACAAAGCATTTAAATTTGTACAATTCAATGGATAATTGCATTCTAAAATGCATCTAAATCTTCAACCATGTCTAGGTTTCCAAAGCACCAGGAATAACAAAAAGAAAAATATTATTTGTGCAAGAAATGATAGAAATGCAACTTACAGACACAAAGCTTAAGGTTGTGTTTGGTATCATTGCTGTTCTAGCTGAAGTGATTCTAGTAAGTATGAGATGGGGTGACGAAACATATTTCTCATTAATTTTGTATTGATCAACCCACAGGCCACAACCTTTTAAGTAGAAACAGAAATGGCACCAAACACAACCAAAATGACAACTAGAGGATGGAGCAAACAGAGCTGTCTGGGTAGGGTTTGACGGCAATAAGTTGGCAGTGAGGACAATATGGGGGGCAAGTAGGAATCTCAGGTTTCTTGGGGGATGGAGGCTTCTTGGGGGGTCCAACGCTAGAAATCTGAACCACCTTCACGATTTTCCTAACTTTCTTTGTTACTTCTACTGGATCGACGGTGCCAATTACCGTTAACGTCCCCTTTTCTCTATCCACAGACACCTGATCTATGCCTGCAACATCAAACCAAAACAAACGCAACAGCTTAATTCATCAGAAGGATTATCAAAGCTGCAGGATGCTAATATTTGATCTCTTATGGGGTATTTGGATACAACATAGAATTAGATAAATATTTCTATTATGAAGTTATTCTCAACATGTTAAAGCAGAATGAAGTCATATCAGGATTACAAGAAACAAACAGTTGGTGATTCTTGTTGGGTTTCCCACAAAGATATTTTTCCATGGAATTAAAGCATGTTTGGATACCAAAAGCACAAAGCTTAAAGTAGGATTTTATGTGGCTTCCATAATTAAGCCCACTCACAAATTCCTCTCCCCAAAAGCAATTCAGTTTCCCCCAAAAAAGTAAGCTACCATTGCTTTAGTCACAATATGGTTCAGGGTTCACCAACCTCAACAAAGTAAGATAGAAGCTACAAGTTACTCACAGTTTGCTCCTTCGAAGTTATAACATAGTAATTAAGAGACAAAGAACGTTTGATAGCTTTGGAATATTGAGACTTGAGAGTAGAATTGACTGAGATAGGATTTTAAGAATTAATTACCTTGAAGTTTAGTAACGGATTTCAATAGCTGGGTCTTGCACTTGTTGCTGGGGATGTTGACTTTCATCTCTATTTTCTGTGTCAAGACATGAAAATGTAACATGAAGAATTAAAAATGGCAAATTAAAGCTAGTGTTTGGGTCAGGGTAGAATTGGAACTGGGGACAGAACTAGCAAACTAACTAAAGACTTCGAATGGTGTATTTTTGGCACAGAATTCAATTCCAATTAACCACTCCTTCCATCCAAACACAAACATAAAATGAAAAGTTGAGTGAGAGGTAGAGAGAAGAAAGAGAGGAACCAAGCTTGTGTTTACCTTGGTGCTCATGATGTTAATTACAGTAGCTAAGGATAACGAATTATCAGCAAACCTTACTCCTTATTCCCTCATCAAATTAATCTGAATGAATCCAGAAAATAGCTTTTTATAGAATTCAGCAAGCTGTTAGTATATATTAAACAAACCATGTTTGGTAAGGAAAGAAGGCGGCAACTTCCCATTATTTAAATTGGGCAAGGTGATGTCAAAACCATATAATGCACAGAGAGCGCGGTTACCATGAAAAACAAAATCTCTAGTAGTTGTTTATTATTAGAGATAATTAAATACTTAAACATACCCTCAACCTTTTGACTGCACCATAACATACCTTTTCAAGTGATGTCATTGGACAACAACTACCCATCCGTTAGTGAAACCTCACATGCCACTTGCATGTGACGTCACGTGATTTATTTAATATTTTAAAAGCTCTATTTTGCCCTTCTAACAGTCCCCTCATTTTCATTGTTTCCTACTTCAAAACCAATGTGAAAGAGCTCTTCATGTTGCTTTTTTTTTTTTTCTTCTTTTTTCAGGCTTCATGTTGGGATATCCCCATCCCTCTATCCTAGTGGGAGCAGCGGGGTTTGATTCTATCAAGGTTTCTAAATATTGATACAGGTCTATGTTGATAAGCGTTTTATATTTCTAGCTAATTGTGGGTTAGTTTAAAGGCCCGTCTACCCCTGAAACGGTCTTTACAATAACATATCGGTGGGTCACTAATAATGATATGTATCCGCTGATAAGGGAATAGCCCTGCAAATTTCAGGCTCCCCAACTCTGCTTATCTCTCTCTTATACGTGGCCTTCCTCTCAAAACATATCGGTGGTTCTCTCTCTTATACGACGAGAACCTTACATCTGCTGCAACCATGGTCGCATGCAACCCCAAATGAAATACACGAAACAAATCACATTAACTAAAATTTTATCTTTCAAACACTAGTGTGTTGGCATTTCATTATTCGGGTTGCATGTAGTCACAGAAAACTTTCTCTAATCACATGACATCACAGTGTTTTCCACACACGGTCCACATGAGTTGGATCCCAATTTACACAACACTGACGTAGTGTTACCTCATGATTGGTTACATAGCCTGATTCACATGAATTGGGTTCTGTTCTTCGTAGAGCAGTCCTCTAGCGGTGTTCACAGTTGGGTTAATTGAATCGTAAGGTATTTTTTTAAATAGAACTAATTTGATCATTTTTTAAATATTCAAACCAAAAAAACTGAATCAATGCAATTAATCGTGTTTCGGTTTTTTATACATTTAAAATAAAAAAATAAAATAAAATACCTAAAAGAGGTGGCGCCTTAGAGGTGGTGATTTGCCAGTGCTGGAATGGTTGGTACCGGTGATTGCTGTCAGCTGTCACCTGAAGTGAGATCTTGAGAGGTGGCGCTGGTGGAGCTGTAGAAAGGAGAGATGAGAGAGAGAGAGAGAGAAAAGAGATACAGAGATGGAGTTGGTGCTTGTTTGCCGGCAAGACGGCTTGGTGCTGGTGGTTGGCGCAAGCCACGTGGCGGAGATGACAGGCGAGAAGAGAGAGATAGAGACACAGACTCATTCACTCACAGAGAATGAGAGACAAAGACAAAGACACTGGGGGAGAGCCGGAGAGGCTGTCAATCAAAGGAGAAGGACGACTAGCATCGGAGGAAAGCAAGGGGAACTGCAACGTCGACTGTCGAACTGGCCACTTGGGATTGGGGTCTGGTCGTCTGGGGGATACGAAGACTAAGAGAGACTGAGAGGGTGAGAAACAGAGAATGTATTAAGTTTAGGTTTTGAAGAGACAAAGAGGCTGAAAGGTTTCGAAGAGATTGAGAGACTGCCAAACTTTTGTATTCTATTTTAAAAAATAAAAATAAAAAAAATATAATATATATATAATATTATATATTACTGTATATATATCAGTTGGTTCGGTTAACTGGTTAATTAAAACCAAACCAAAACTGTCGGTTTTTTAAGAACATTGAAGTGAAACTGAACTGACCGATTCGGTTAACTGATTTTTCAGTTCGGTTTCAGTCGATTTTTTCGATCGATTCGATTTTTCAGTTTTTTTTTGCTCACCCCTACTCTTCACATTCGTCTCACAGCCACAGGACATGCTGTGAAATAGATGCGAGGAACGCTCTATGATTAGCAGATCCGGACTCGGTTCACACACCATTATTTGCGGCAGATCCAAGAGAGAGAGAGAAGTGTGGCATATACCACCGGATCATGTACAAAATCTTGGAGAAAATAAAAGACAATATTACATGAGATTGAACCAGAAAGAAAACTCGAATAATTAAAGCTAACAGGCAGAGCAGAGGTGGAGGTAGAACCAGAGGAATAGGCTTCGTATTATAATCTATAGAAAGCAACCATGATCGATCGCAGGAAAAAAAAAAAAAGGAAAAGGCTTCAGCTGTCTACATATCAAAAAATAAAAATCATGTGTTCATTAACATACTGGCTTCAAACGAAGGCTCTGCTTCTTCCGATCACCAGTTTCGATCAAAAAAATCGTTTGTTCATAATTTACATTCTTCCGCCCTCTTCATCACTTCTAAAAATTCTAAAGCTGCACCTCTTACAAGGTTCTGTCATTAAACTCAGAGGAGAGAGAGAGAGAGACATCTGGGAATCCTAACTTAAAGAGTTCACTTCTGCCAATTGCCATGACATAGTTTCATCGCAGTGCAGGGCTAAAAGGCTAAAACCGAGAACCACAGGGTAGATGTATTGTTATGGCCCCACCAAAACGTTACTTCATCTAATTCCAACTTGGAGTACCGCAATCTACTTACAACCGTGTATTATTGAAAATATTTATGTATTTATATAGTTGTTTGTTTCATGAGGAAATATTTCCGATGCACACAGTTGTGAGTGGCTATGAATTGGTAGGATAGCATCATTTTGTGAGAACTAAATCCAATTTCATCTAATTCAAGGTGAGCCCCTTCCCCCAATATCAGAAAGACATACCAGAAGAGCTCTAATGATATCATTTAATTTGTTTAAGTATTTTCTTTGTTTGTTTTCATGGGACCATACAACAATGGGGTAGCCTATCTCCCATCCCTTAGCCCCCCCTCAACCTAAATTCGGATTTGCTCCTTCCAAAGCGCACCTCACAGCAAGTTGCAACCGCACATTCAATATATCTCATATGTCTCCCTCACAGTAAATACGGTCTCCCTAAACCCTGGTGACAGTGGGATTTTATTTCAGGTCTCTTCTACAACAAATCCGAGATCTTACATTTATTTTTATAATAAAAATCTAATACGACAAAAGGGAATGCAAATTACAAGAGTAGAAAATAGTTTAGATAGGCAGTTCCTAGTGTGCAAAGTATGTGGAGGGCCTCGTAATCTTTTTTAAAAATGTATACACTAATTGGAATAGAAAAAAAGGGGGATGGAGCTCTGAATCTAAAGAGAGAAGTGGGAAGAAATATGTTATATAGAATAGCATTTAATGTTAAACTGAAATCATAATACAAACTTGAGAGGAGTAGAATCAATAATTATTTTACTATTAAATAAGGTGATATTTAATTTATTTTCTTAAATGAAAAAAAAAATATTGAGAAAATCAATACTCATTCTACTAAATTTGATGGAAAAATTACCTTGAAAAGTATGGAACTGCCTCTTGCTGCTTTATAATTAATTACAAGATGTAAAATAGACAAAGGAAGACTGCAGTAGGCCACCTAAGAAAAATAGTTATAATTAATTAGAAGATGCAGTAGGCTACCTCTGCATACCAACCTGACTTTAAAAAATGGTAAAAAAAGAGGAGAAACTTCCTGTAATTGGCCTTTTCCCTTTCAGCCTAGTGGAAAAAAATGTACAAATAGAGATTGGCGAACCTTTGTGGGGGGGNTGGATTAGCCAGTTCTTTGGGCCTACTCTATGTCATCAGCTCCATACTCTCTAATCAGTTATTGGGCCTTTCTGAAGTTATGTTGGTCAATAGCCTCTAAGAAATTGAGCTGTTTAAGCTTTAAAATACACCATATGGATTTAGTTTTGCCAGGACTGAAACTTGACTATGAATAAAGAATATTCTTTGTTCATCTGAATTGTTGATTTAGACAACTTTCCATGTTGAGTAGTAATGTAGTATAGTTCTATAATGTTAGAATTCTCTAAACTAAGAAAGCAACCATTATATATTATAGACTATAAAAAAGAAAACTTCAATTCATTTCATTTTTAAATTAATCTCTCTTGGTATTATTAGAATGACATCTTTTGCATATATATATATATATATATATATATATATATATATATATATAACTTCTTCTGTATAGTTTTGAAGCAGCCTTTAAGTAGGGGTGTTCATGAAAAACCAAAAAACCAAAAAACCGAATCGAATCAAGAAAATCAAACCACAAAATTTTGTTAACTGAACTGATCGGTTCAATTTCGGTTTGGTTTTCAGTTAATTTACAAAAAAATCAGCGGTTAACCGAACCAACCGATATATATAATATATGTCACATATTTTCTATATATTATATATAAATATATATTTATGTTATATTTATAATATCTATTTATAAATATATTATATAGTATATATTTTTAAAATATTGATAATAAATTATATATTATTTATTATTTATAATATAATATTATACATGTATTCATATAATATATTATAAATATAAAAAACCAAACCGGTCAAAAATTAAAACCAATGGACCGGTTAACCGGTGGTACCGATTCAGTTTTATTTTGAAAAAATGAAAAAACCGATACCATAAATTTGATTTACAACCATGGTTCCATTACCGAACTATGGACACCCCTACTTTCAAGAAGAGGGAAAAAGATATTTATTTAATTTGGCAGCCCAAACAGGGAACCACTCCTGATTCATAGAGCAAATCTCATACTAAATGATCATACCCCACTTTTACGGAGAAAGGACTGTCCTCCGAGGGCTCACATGAGATTATAACCATCTGATTTTGTTTGATATTTTGGATTAATTGAACGGCGGTGAAATGTTGGTGAATCTCTTCAAATATTGCTCTCAAGTCAGATGGTTAAAATTGATCTGAGTTATATGCTGGGTTTAATCACGGTCAATCCTTCAGTGGGGCCACTCAATAATTGCCCCATATAATGATGGGGCCCGCGATTCTAGAAACATGCAATGCAGGGCAAGTATTGGGACCCACCCATGACATAGGTGTCCCGGGACCCCAGGCACTGAAGCAATGACAATTGTGTTGGGCTGGTCCACAAAACCAACCCTGTTGACTCCAATTCTATATTTCTAGCAATTCGGGTTCAGGGTGGATAAAACCGTTGTCTATCACCGTCTATGAGAAACAATGCATGGGACCCAGTTAAGGTGATTCCTTTGAGGTGGTGATGGTGGTGCCCATATGGATGTGGACCGTATGGCCAGCATTTTTATTTTACGTGTGTCAATTCTAGATTTGAAGATGAGAAAGAGTGTGTGTGCGTGTTTGTTTGTTTCTTGTATTTAACCAACCCTGACTTAAAGAATTCAGTGATGAAGTGTGACACATTGATTCAACTGCAACTTACCAAATATCTAACAAATAAAAAATAATAAAACAAACGATGAGAAAGAAAGAATCAGAGCCACATCTTGGTCGTAGTCTAATATGTGTCCTTTTAATATGGCTGAAAAAGAAGGAAGAAGGAGAAGGGGTCAAGATATTTTAGTTAAATGGAGTAGAAATAACCTAGAAAGAGAATAGCATGATAAAACACAGCCTGAAGAGGTCTGTAATCTGTGGACGCAAGGTGGAATTAGTAATGGCGGATTCTATGTTGTTCTGATCTGATCTTCTGCTGAAGGCCATTAAGAAGGGAAGGAGTTGGAATACCCCAAGGAACTTTCTTTGATTCTACGGTTTGAAAACTGAAATCAGACGAGTTAAATATATGGGTGTTCTGAAAACTGGGTTGGACTTGGAGTCCTAACTGTTTTTCAACTATCACAGATTGGTTTCCTTTACATACAACCAGTGAAATAATTAATTCCCATTTGGGCTGCATCAGTGGTCGGATTTCGGGACACTATTGCTGAATATTTTAACATAGAGGGAGTTTGGTCAAAAGTGTAAGGTTAGGATAAGTGTTGAAAGATAAGAATCCAGACCCAACTTACTTTCAACCCGACATGTCTTTATATATTCATACATATTATATAAATATGTATATATCAATAAGTTTTAAATTTAAAGTAAACAAAATTCTCTAGTGTAATATAATGGTACTCCTACATATGCTAAAACCAGTGAACCTTTAACTTTTTTTATGCATTGAATCAAAGTATGTTTATATGAAATTTAAAGGAAAATAAATAAAGTCTTACTATTGTGTAGAAATCACTATGTTTCATAAGACAAGTGAATAACCTCAACTAGGGGTGCTCATGGTTCAGTTAACCTAATCATGGGCTTATTTTTAGAACCGAATTGATATTATCGGTTTCTGAAAAACCAGTAAATAAAATCAAAACGAAGCCGATCGGTTAATCGATTGACTGATTCAGTTGGTCAGTTTTTTATATTTACAATATATATTATAAAAATTATATAAATAAATAATAAAAAACAGAAATATATATATAATAGTATATTTTAAATAATAAATAATATATTACATATTATAAATATATATTTATATATAATACATATTTATTAATTTATAATATATAAAGAAAATATAAAATATGTATATAAATATATATGATATACATAAATATACCTAAAATATATAGAATTATATGTATAGTGGTCAGTTTACTAACTGCCAGTTTTCTATATTGGTTAACTGAACCGATCGATTTGATTAGCGAATTAATCAAATATTTTGTTCAGTTTCGATCAATTTTCCGGATTGATATACTTTTTCAGTTTTTCTTGCTCACCACTAACCTCAACCACAAGTTTCATGGGACCGAATGTCGTAATGAAAAGTTGAAAACAAATACCACTACAAGAGGTGTTGTGTAGTTATAATTCATTCTCATAGAATAAATTTTCACATACTACCATGCATTTGCCCAAAAAAAAAAAAAAACATTTTAGCAGAATGAAATAAAAAAACCAGACCCAGCCCAACAAAAAAAATAAAGAAAATTTGGGCTGACTGGCTGATGACTGGGTTAAGATTGACCTCAACCCAACCCTAACCTAATCCAGACCGACTCGCGCTATTCCAGAGAGTTTGACATCGCATATCCATAAAAACGGCAATTATGTAGTCTAATGCTCATATCTATGTGACGTATAAGCAATACACATGACATTTTTAATAAACAACTTTACCATGCAACGCTTTGTACATCACCTTTCACGGCACCTGCAAATACGTGCCGATACTTCGAAACTTGCTTAGGGGCTATTTGTTGAGACTAGATTTGAGAGATTTTGATCATCTAAATATAATGATCACAAGGGTTTTAATCAGGGAGTATAGCATTATGATGCCACTGCTTGTATCTTATAAAATGATTATTATTGGGCTGCTATAAAGCCCATTCAAAAAGGTCGGACAGACTGAATTAAGGATCTGTATAATTCTGGTTCCTTAACCATATTTGGACAAGCTGTTCAGGCTCAGTTTGAAAGGAGTACAAATCTTTAAATTTTGTATTATTTTGTATGTATTTATACTGTACATATTTGTATTTGTACTCTTTCCAGAGAAGAATGCAAATACAAATGTATATGGTGCAAATACATGCATATTTGTATTTGCACTCTTCTCCAACTAAGCATTAGGTTCAGTTTGGAAAAAGTACAAATATAAATATACACCATATAAAACATACAAAATAATACAAAATACAAAATTTTGCACTCTACATATTTACATTTGTGTTTGTACTCCTTCCAAACTGAGCCTAAGCCGATAGTACGACATTAACCCCTCTCCCCTCATCCTCCCGCCTCAGTTTTATCATAATCTTTAAACATCCCATGATTCTGCTGTTAATTTTAACAGAATGGGAGAAACATCAAGAATGTCCTAATAAGGTTTTTAGATGTTTGAATCTAACATAAAAATGCCCTACTAGTGAGTGAGTTACCTAGTTTTTGACGTGGCCCATATAACAACTTTCTGACAAATCAAAATCATTCATATTGAAGCCCATCCTTTAAATATGCCACCTGTATAATGTCAGCCCAATCAGAAGTTGACAAATAAAACAAAGTTAGACTTCTACTTTTACAAAACTTCATGGACATAAATTATTGGAATGACAGGTGGCTAACAAGATTAAAAAGCACTTGATTGATTCTGAACCGATTACTGAGTTAATAATGTATAAAAGTCTCCTAGTTTTCTTATATTTTTATGTATAAAAGGTAAATTTGATAGATCATATATAAGATAATTTTGGTTAAAAATACATAGATTAATTAACATAAAAAAAAATTACTATTTCATTGTCAAAGTTATATTAAGTTTGAAGTTGTTATTAACATAATTAATTACAGATGTCAGTATAATCAAGTCTAATCAGATCAAACCAAATTATCTCAATTAATAATCTAGACAGTTCTGGGTCTGTAATTTTGTCCCGATGGTTGGGACTGATACACCTTGTCTCAAACCAGACCCGATCCATTGACGGCCCTATGATGACAGCAACTTTTAGCATAAGTGAAGGGCGGTTGTCATGCTATATCAGTAGGGTTCAAAATATCGATATGTCCGATATGACAGTAGGGGTGTATTAGACCATATCGGTATTTTTTTTTATTTTTTTTAAAACCGATTCAAGAGCGATTTAAGACTCCACCCCTGAATTGGTCAAAACCCCAATACACTTCTTATAGGGATGTATCGGGGAGCTCTCGAAACAATACGTATCGACCGATACATTTGAACCTTGTGGAGGAGGTTATCCATTTAGAAAGATGGGGAGATGTTTTAGTATTTATAACAAACCTCGGGGGAGGTTTAAGGATTTTTTTTCCCTCAATTAAATTGGGCTTATTTTGGCAGAAAATCTATACTAATTAAGGAAGCCTACTTGAAACAAAGAGGGACCACTTCACTCGATTTCATTACGTAGAGTTTATATTTCTCAAAAAATTAAGATGTTTATATGGGTTAGTCATGTAACCATCTCACTTCTTTACAAGATCCCTGAGAGAGTGGGAGAGAAAGACCAGTCCAATAAGGTGTAAGCCAAAGAACAGTCAACAAATAACTCGCCATCCCAAGGAGGGTGCCTTGCTCCATCTCTGCTTCCCTTTACTCAAAGACGATCTCCTATCTCTCATTCCATCATCTGCTCCATGTCCTTTACTTTTCTCTTTTTATCTCTACATGCATAACATAACAATTTTCTGTCATATGCAAAAAGTTGAATATATAACCAAACCATCTTCAGCCTCGTTATTCAACTTGGCTCCAGAAATTGTATAAAAAAATACTAAGGATCAGAACCATCTAAAGCCTGATACTTCAATCCAGCTGAGTAAAGAAATAGGAAAAACAATACCTACAACCTCAACATTTAATTTGGTTAATTGCGGGCTCTCATAAATTGCACAAACGCCCACGGCTTATCTAATAATAGAATTGATGGCCAAATATGTAAATGAAAAGTTTACTTATTCACTAAATTTATGTTCCCATCCTATCTCAATTTCAGAGGAGGATAAAACCAAAATCCACAAGGAAAAACTTGTAATTGCATATAATTAGTCTTTTTGTTCATTAAAGGCACAAACCACAAGGTGAGGAAAAGGTGAGAAGACTCTTTTGTTTTTCGGGGTGGAGAAAGAGCTTGTTGATTGCACCTCTCTCAGTCACAATGTTGTGGAACACAAGTATTAATCAGAGGTAGGTTACTTTGATTCTTTCTATTTCTCTAAGTTTAATATGAGGAAGACCCTTGAGAGCAAACAATCAAAAATTTTGGGGGTTGATTCTCTGTTGATTGAAGGCACGGATAAGATCCTTGTGCTGAATCCAGACGGAGATGGGGGAAGTATAGTGAAGGGTCCACAATCCTGTTCGGCTTTGATTACTATTCCGGAGAAAGGATCAAAGAATGTGACCAGAGCTTAAGGAAAACAAGAATTTATTATAGGAAAAGAACGTATGAGGAGAGAAGTCTAAGTGAGGAGGATGAGGAAGAAGTCTTTTAGATGAGACTCATCAGATTGACAAATCTATTGGTGTGGCTAAGGTCAGAGAGAAAGCTGTGGAGGTAAGTAAAGCTCTAGGCTTGCTTGTCTTGGGAGGTGAGTCATTTACAAGGAAAATGTTCCAACATCTGGAAGAACACTACGTGATGCCTGAAAACGAGAACACTGGAGATTTTCAAGTGCCTGTGCCGCCAATTGATGAAGGCCATAACAACTTAACCACAACGAGTTTGGAAGAGGATGGTAGTGAGAAAAAAAAAACTGCAGTTTTAGTTGATGCCCAATTCTTTAAGAGAAACACAGTTCTGGAATTGGAAAGAATTAATGAGAACCCCCACCTTGCTTGTTGGATTCCCAGAAGTGTGTTTTAGCAAATAGAAGATAAAAGACAGAAAACATCGAGACATTCTGGTCTCATAGGTTTTTGCTAGACTAAAAGGAGGCCTATTTGGGATTAAACCAAGCAAGAAAATCTTGAAGACCAAGAAAACCTCTAGAAGTTTTTAGTGGTTAGTGGTTTAGAGGCTGCAGTTTTGAAGGTGGAGCTGGTGTTGAGGTTGAGTTTTCACATTATTGAGTTTTGCTTGGTCTTTGGTTGTTGTAGCTTGTGTTTGTTTAGTGATATTTTGGGCTCTTTTTTTTTTTTGATTGATGTGATATTTTGGGCTCTTGGGTTTGGTGATTTTGAGGCTCGGCAGGGTTGGTTGCATGTTTGTGAGTTGGAGATTGTTTTTCTTTTCTATCTTGAGTGACTTCCGGTCATTCCCCTTCTGTACCCTCTTTTTCTATTTTATATAACAGAAAATATTATATATGATACATTAATGCATCATATTATAATATATCCATCAAAAAAATATAATATATAAGTATATATTATGGGCTGGACCTAAAGTATTGGTCCTAGGCCCATGCCCAGAAATTTGAAGGCTGGCTGGGAAGGCTAGAAATAATCACCCCTATCTGGGACTACTAAGACAATTGCAATGACCCAAGTATTTGATTATGAGTATAGGATTTAGATTTTTTTTTTGATAAGCAGTATAGGATTTTTAACCCCAAAACCTTATTATGCTCAAGAAAAAGGTTAGGTGGAAGCCACCAACAGAATTCTTAATAATGTAAGCATGGCACAACCTGCGGTATTAATGATAGGTGGACATAAGTCTATTGTCGGCAAATTAAGAAAGACAGGATTTGCGGCAAATTAAGAAATATATGATTTGATTTGAATAAATTTAGGAAAGATTAGATTTGAATAAATTTAGGAAAGTCATATCCTAGGATTAAGGGAAAGATTTAGTCAATCCCTGATTGAGAGAAATTCTAGGGGTTTTGTCTTTCCTATCTTTTCTTACTTAAGGTGTATGCTCAATATGTTTTTATCATCAATAAAGAAAAGCTTCTTCTTTTCTCTCTCTATATTTCGCAACATGGTATCAGAACTTTAGGGTTCGACCATGAATTTTAAAGCCGCCATGGTTGGCTTAGGTTCAGCATCTTCGGATGTGACCAGTGGTGTGACATCTTCGGAGGGAGGTATTCAACCAGCGGCTATTTCTCTTTCTAAGAATTCCCTGCAGATTACCATTCACAAATTGAATGGAAAAAATTATCTTGAGTGGTCTCAGTCCGTGCAGTTGGTGATTGACGGCAAAGGGAAACTCGGCTATTTGAATGGCGAAGTGAAACCGCCAGCCACTGATGATCCAAAGTACAGGCAGTGGCGTTCTGAAAATTCTATGGTTATCGCCTGGTTGATCAACTCTATGGATCCTGTAGTTGGAAAACCATTCATGTTTCTGTCAACGGCTCGCGATGTGTGGGAAGCTGTTAGGGAAACCTATTCAGATTTGGACAATCATTCACAACTGTTCGAACTGAATACCCGAATGTGGAAGATGCAGCAAGGTGAATGTGAAGTATAGCTTATTATAATGAGATGATGGTTGTTTGGCAGGAGTTGGATTTATTTGAAGAAGAAGAATGGGAAAGTCCCAGTGACAGTGCTCGATACAAAAAGAAGATAGAAAGAGATCGGGTTTTTGTCTTCTTGACTGGTTTGAACAAAGAACTTGATGAGGTTTGGAGACGTATCTTAGGACGAAAGCCCTTGCCTACTATAAGAGAGGTTTTTTCAGAAGTGCGTAGAGAAGAAGCAAGGCGGCAAGTGATGTTGAAGAATGTTAGTGAAACAAAAACAGAGAATGAAGGGTCCACTCTTGTGGCCCGAGGTGCAGACTTAGACGGAGATAAGCGAGGAGGAAAGCAAAGGCCTTAGTGCGATCATTGTAAAAAGCCATGGCATACTTGGGAAACCTGCTGGAAGCTGCACGGGAAACCGGCGGGTTGGAAGAAAAAATCAGGCAGTGACAACAAGTCAGGGGGAGATGTCC